GACAGCGCCTATAAGTGTCCTAAAAAAGGATGTAATAAAACTTTTAGGAAAGAAAATCTTTTGCAAATGCATATAAAGCATTATCATCCAGAGTATTCGAAATTTTTGGGTTCCACGCCAAATGTTGCAGATCTGGCATATGCAAGAACAATCGGAGAGTCCGTAGAAGACATTATTCCAAAAAAATCGACACCTCTATTAGACAAAGTTCATAAATTTGGAAAAAAGAAAGCTTCTCAAGAAAGATCACCAGCAACTCTGACGCAACCGGGATTAAATTTTGTACAACCTTCTTCTCCATTTGTATCGGTACCATCATTTGAGGAACGAGAAGATGAAGTTAATCATGTAGAGAAATTTAATGATTTACATAAAGAAGATAAAATAGAAACAATGTCACCTATGTCAAATCATAGCATAGAAATAGATGAAGATATTGAGAAAAGAAAAGAAAATTCGTGTGCCATGTCACCGGATACATTGTTTGATATGAAAATTAGAGAAGAGAGACCAGAGAAAGTTGGAATTAAGACATTATTACCTGTTGTTCGACCACCTGTGACATCAGAAGTACAAAGGGTCGATAGATCTAAGTCTTTAGATGATCCTCTGCATATCGAAAAGGGTAAAGGTCAAAGAAAACGTCAGTTATCTGAATATAGTTCAGATGTTCCATCTAAAGGAAAAAAACGACATGGTATCTAATATTCTACAACTTTGTAGTCTTATTAATTAGTGGTTGAATAATTTCTGTCGTATTTGAAATTAATTTAAATCACTAGAATGTAATAAAGACATTTATTTAATCAATTATATATTAACCATTATTATCAACGATTTGTCTTTATATAGTATCCACTTAGTCAATTTTTAATAAATAAATCTTCTATTTCTCAACAGCAATATAAAATTAGAAATAAAACAGAAATTATGCAACGACCTAATACATTTCATTATAGTCAATGAATAATATGATCAATATTTAATGTACCTGAATAGGTATGCCAGATATTGTAGATGATTATGGTGATCTTGATGACAGTGCACTTGATGCAGAAGGTCCTACTGCTCCTATGTATAGGTACAGTCGTAGGAAATCTGATTGTAAAAGTGACGAAAATAGTCAGAATAGTAAGTTCACTATTTGTGTCATCAAATTTGCATTGACAATTAAGATTTAATCACATTATGTAATTAAGTTGGAAATATTAAATTTTTATTTTTATTTTTATTTTTATTATTATTATTATTATTATTATTATTTTATTATTGTATTATTTCTGTATTGCTCCTAGGTCAACTTAATGACTCTCGCCTTGAGAAAGGCGACCCCTTAAAAGGGGATTCTGCAAAAAGAGATATTAGTAATGATGCGGAAGGTATTTTGTTCGTTTTTTTTTAAACATCTGTTTTTATTTCAACATTATTACATTAGCCATCCTTTAATTTTCATTATTAACGAACCTTATCATTTTATACATAGATAGTATAAATATTAACAAATAGCTGTAATAAATGTAATTAAATAATTATTAATAATAAGAAACATATTTAGAAACGATCATTTTTATAAAACAATACATAACAATTCATCCTTTCATCTATATGAAAAAGCACTTACAATTAGTTTAAGGTAAACATATTTAGTATAAAAATATAAAGAAATTATCAATCAATGTCCCTAATAAGTTATGCTACTGTTTACTTAAAAACAGAAAAATCCCCTATGCTGTTGATTAAGCGTTAAGAACAAATTAAAAAATACCTAATTGAACTGTATGAATTTACTATGTTAACCACCGTATTTTTTGATATTTTATTTATAGAAAGCGAAGGAGTTATGATGATGATTAACGGAGAAATGGTCAAAGTAGAGCAACTTAGGCGAGAAGAAATAATAAATTGCACTTGTGGATACATGGAAGAGGATGGTTTAATGATACAATGTGATCTTTGCTTATGTTGGCAACATGGTCATTGCAATTCCATAGAAAAAGAAAAAGATGTTCCCGAAAAATATGTTTGTTATATATGCCGTAATCCGTATCGAGAAAGGCCATCGAAAAAATATTATCATGATCAAGATTGGATAAAGGAAGGCAAATTGCCTAGGTATTTAATAGAGGGTATATTTATAATTATTTTTTAATAATATCCTATTATACTAAATTTTTATAAAATATCTCTTAATTATATAGTTTATCTACCCGAACGAAAAATCAAAATACAATAAATACAAGAACTGCGATATTAAAGCGTTCGTACGATTTAGTCTCAGCTTTATTGCAAATGCAACAAATACTTCGTAGCCTGAGGGTGAAAATAAACGTAGCGCAGTAAGTAAAGTACTTTTATTTCATTCGATTATATTCGCGTTAAGTTAGTTTTTCGGTAACTTTTTTTTTTTTTTTCGGGACTTTTAATCAACTGGGGAAAAGCACATAAGAATTTCAATCACTAATGATGACTGCTGTGGTCTGAACGAAAAGTATAATAGCTAATTACTAATGACAAATATTGCTCTTAATATATTAATTTGTATGTATATTAGGAAAAAAGATCATCCAAAATTATATCTTTGGGCCAAAAATTGGGAAAAATTGGATGTACCTAAACCCGACACGGAACCTGTTCCTGTAATGGAAATAATAAAAACACCTGTAGATTTTATCGATACAAGTTCAGAAACTTCTAGACGTACCGATATTAAAATAGAAACTAAAACATCCGTTAAGGATGATCACGATGACAAATCAATAGCCTCGGATTCGGAATTAATGAAAATTTTAGAAGAAGATAGCTCTAATTCCGACGAATCTAAAGTGATGTGTAAAAAAGAGGATTTGGCTAATTCAAAAGGTGGCAATATATTATTAGACGCGTTAACAAGAAATGGAAGTCAAAATGAGAAACAAAAATTGAAGCTTGAAAATTTAACAGAAAACATAAGTAAGTTGAAACAAAATATATATACTTATTTTTTCTATAATTGAAGATGTTTATTATATTATTTTTATTATTATGATAGATACACATGGATCGGAAGATAGCAAATCGGCGTCAGGATTATTCGCGGATAATATTCATGGTGAAACAGATGTACCTGAAATTGGGCAGGAATTATTAACTTCTTTACAACCATTTATACCAGAACCAGAAGCACCTATAGATTCTGCTGAATGTCGAATGAGATTATTGGAACACATTGAACATTTCCAAAGTCACATAGAATCAAGATTAATATCATTAGAAGCTCAAGTTACTGGTATAGTTATAATTTATGAAGAATAATCAATTTGAAATATCAAATAATATTATTCGTTATTTTTTTTTTGTATAGCTTTGGAAGCTATGGATTCTGACGAGATCATACCGAGTCCTGATGTGCAACCACGAACGAAGCAAACAGTGCAAATGTTGCTTAGAGATTTGAATACAGTTCGTAAATTAGCTGCTTTATGTTAAAGCATTCGTTTGTACAAATAGGATATTGCAATAAGGATGATTTCTTCATTGGAAAATAATATTGCACAATAAAGTTTCTTAAACGAATGTTACATTCATAACGTTTCTAAGTACCAGTGTGCAATACATGATGTAAAATATTTTTAAGTCACAATTTCGTAAATTCCTACGTAACTAATTTAGCCCATTCTGTGTATAGTGATTTCAATAGAAAAGTAAGTTAATTGTATAATCATAGATTTTATATATCAATATATATCAATATATATCAATATATCTATATTATCTACATAGGATGATGTAATAGAAGTCGCTTTCCCCAAAGATTCGTTTGTTAGTAACTCGTTTATGCAATGATAAGATGCGGTTACAGCTGTACAAACAGCTGATATTTTAATACAGCTTCTTATGTGATATACTATAGACACGGTATTTTTTATTTTTATTATTATGCATCTTGCATTAAATAGTTCTAAAAAATGAATCTAAAGTAAACCAAAAAAAAATTCGGTGTTTTTATATTGCAATGTTGGTGGAAATATAATAAACTGTTCAGAATTTGTATTAGATGGTTTTCATATGAGGAAAGCAATTTTTATTTCACATATAATATATCAATATATATATCAATGTAGATATATTTTATTATATATCATTAAATTAAATAATTTAGATATATTGATATAGATACAGATATTTATTATTTATTAATATATAAATATATATATATATATATTCAGTTTTCAGTATCATTATGTATTGTTTATACGGAAATTAGCTTTACTTTTGTGGATATTATAGTTTGTTGCATTCTTTATATTATTATTATAATCATCATCATCACAGATCAGAGTAAATAATTGAATATTTTTTCAGGATAAATAACAAAATATTTTTAAACAATCGGACAGATATTACAAATAAAGTAAAAATATAAATGATTATTACAGAAATTATGGATAACAAAATATTGTCGATGTTATATAATGTAATGTTATGTTATATTATTAACATTATTTTTACTAAATTAATACGTTTTCTTTGTTGTGTTAGTAAATATATGTTCCAAAAACGACACGATCATTATCCTTTGATTTGGTTGAAAATCCTCGATGCCTGTATTTTCATTTGCATTTTCCCGTGCGAGTTTAACAATGTAATAAAGAAATAATCACACAGATGTCGCTAGAATGCATAAATTACGAATTATTTGATTACCGGTCGAGCATATCATAAATGATGAATCGAACTTGTTTACAAGTTATTTTACGAAATACAAATAGAAATTCAATGAAAAGTGCTTTTAGTATATTAGCTTCGTTCTAGACGACGAAATTGGTAAACGGGAAATAGCAAGAAAGGATAGACACATTGAATTGACGCGTGGGAGCAGCAGAGAGATAGAGAGAGAGTGAGAAAGAAATAGAAGAGAGAAGTGTAGTCGGCGCATGTGCAATTAGGTGTGCATGAGTAAGAGCGCGTTGAGAGGAGTGGCGACGGTGATGATGATGGAGGGGGGTGAAGAAGTGTAGAAGGTGCTGGAGGAGAGGGAGAGAAGGAACGAGAGGGCAGTCGCACAGGACGTGGAACGGCCGTTGCCGTGGAGCGTGTGCGCTTAACTTTCGGGGTACGTTTATCTTAAATATATTCGTTATGACGATACAGTGATCCAGCGCTGAGCGCTGCGACCGTACGTATTTACGATTCGTTCGGCTACGGCAGCGAGAACGAAAAAGACTATAGAAAAATATAATAACAATAACGATAATTACAATACAACTACCAACTACAACGACGGCGACGAAGACGACGACGACGCGAGATGGAGGCGCGTCGCGAGACGGTCTGATCGTGGTGTAGCCTGTTTCCGTCCTTTTCTCGTTCCTTTCCTCTCGTGTATTAGTATATACCTTCGCTGGGGTCTTCCTCCTCCTCTCTTTTGTGAAATCGAGTGTGTGCGCCATGTGCCGCCGCCGTTCTACTCCTGTCGTCGCTGCTCGCGTGTGTCTTATTCCTTTTAAAGTGGATTTTAACATCATCGAGTAGGACCTCCCATTTTTTCTCTCCTTTACCCGGACCCTATTCCCCTTCCTCCCTTTTGCCTCTCTTTTATGAAAAATAAAAAGTTTGAACGAAGGGGAAGGAAGAAAGTGTCTTTAGTCTGTTCCTTAGAGGAGGTTTGCCGGTACGCCCATCTCCCTACGATTGAGAAAGAGAAGGAGAAAGAAAGACAGAGATAGATAGATAGGGAGAGAGAGAGAAAAGGAAAGAAAGAAAGAGTAAGAGAGAGAGAGAGAAAGAGAGAGAAGGAATTTTCTTCTCTCCATTATTAGTGATCGTCGTCTCGTGTCCGGTACGTCGCAGTGCAAGATACGACAATTCGGAAGACGAAGAAATTTAGGAAAGCATTATTCTCTTTTATATCAAACCATTGTATTTTTGTCTGCATCTCGTGGTGTGCCAATCGAGAGAAATAGAAGACGTAGAGAGAGAGAGAGAGAGAGAGAGAGATAGAGAAAGAAAGAAAGAACGAACGAACGTAAGAACGAGTGAGAGAGAGAGAGAGCAAGTAAGTCTGACGATTTGGTGGGGGTAGTGGGGTGTTGGTGGTGGAAGGTGGAGTGAAGTCAGCGAGGCTGAGAGAGAGCGAGAAGGAAATATAAGAAGCGAGAAGAGTGAAGAGAGAGGGGACACGTCTGGTCCGATTCCGTGCGTTCGAACGAGAGAGATAACGCGAGGGAGCGCAAGTGGCGTATCAAGATGGCGCATAATTTGGCACCGAGCGTCAACTGCTCGCTCGACGACATTGACCTGAACGCCCTGAAGGTACGTAAATATAAATATCATTTTAATCTAACGTATGTGTTTTTATATATATATATATATATACCTATGATTATTCATATTTGTATATACCGGCATTTATTTCATTCTTAATTATCGACCAAATACTTTCGATGAGTGGTCATGGAAAATCTAACGCACACAAAGAGAAAAAGAGAGAGAGAGAAAGAGAGAGAGAGAAAGAGAGAAAAAGAGGTAGATAGATAGAGAGAGAGAGAGAGAGAAGACTGAACGTTGATGATGATGATGAGAGATCAGGCTTTTGGTATTGGTCAGATGAAGATAACACGTACACGATCATCGACGAACTTGATCCAAGGAAAACGTAATTTCCTCTCTATTTCGTTGGAAATAAATTTCTTTCTTTATTATTATTTTTTTTTTTTTCATTTCGAGACACGAGGGAGGATTGAAGAAGTATACAAGTTAGAGAGAGAAAGAATGAGAAAGAAAGAGAAAGAGAGAGAAGAGGGAGAGGTCCTCGTATTCTCTCGTTCGATACTTCCCGTCTCGCGCAAACGTCTTCGAGAAGAATTGAACACTACCAAGAAGTTCCCATTTCTTTCATTTCGTTTTTCTCTTTCTCTCTTTCCTTCTATCTTTGACTTCTTTGCTCGTGGCCGGCCATCAAAGTCATTCCGGAAGCGTCCGAGCGTATCGCATAACATCCGTTGACAGCTTGGCGCGAATCCCGCCCAACCAATTTTCCTTCCGATCTTTAAATTCTTTTCCCAAACATTGTTTTCTTCCTTTTTTGGTATTTAAAAAACGTCACGCTTGTCACCTCACTTATTTTCATTTCATACTTGCGTCATATGTTAACGTTATTCCTTTTAAATATTCAATGTTTCTCCCTCCCTTGTTTCTTGTAACAATAGGTTTTAAATGTATGATGATGGTAGTGGTCGTAGTGTTTTGTTATTATCGTCACTAAATATTACCAATAATATTCCCACTATTTACTTATCAACTTTTTATAATTCAATATTGCGAGAATTGAACTGAATTTTGTTTTAATATCTACTGCAACCCTACCTGGGAAAAGCTTTGCTGTTTATCTCAACAATTTTAAGCGTTTACAATGATTTTACATTATTTACAGACTTTTAATTCAATTTGCCAACGTGTATATCTCAGGGCTTCTCTAACTTTTCCACTTGACGACCCCTTTTACTCGAGTAAATATTTTCGTGACCCTGGGTATATATATATATATATAGATTCTGCACTATCTTCTCTTCCACTATCACATTAACTTACAGACGTACATAACTTGCAGTTTTACTTAAATAATTTAGAATTAAATTTTGTTTTGTGTTTGAAATTTCAGCGATCACACATATATATATATATATATATATATGGGGCTCGCAAAATCACACTAGAAGTTTCGTTGCATCTCGTAATTTTCATTTGCGATTAGAATTGATTTCTATTAGAAATTATTTTCAATGATTTTCCCAGTATTTACAGACCTTTAATTCAAGAGAGATTTTATTTCAAATACGTTTAATATACAAGCGTATACGATATTATGTTTTCACCGTGTATACGTGCACGTTCTAATTTTAAAATACAGTATCGGGTGAAGTTAGATGGTGTTATCCTGTATATTTATATATTTGAAAATTGTCGTACATTATTATATATATGTAGATAATATTAACGTATAGGTTAGTACAAGCTGCGCATAAAATAATAATCGATTTATCGTTTAATTAAACATTAGATTCTCGCCATGTTGTAAACACAAGGTGCACATTTTATTTTGTATAATTTCTTTTTTTATTCCCGTTTAACGGTTCTCCCTTCCTCTCTCTCTCTCTCTCTCTTTTTCTTTCTCGTTTGTTCGATGCGTGTTTATGCGATATATCGATCGTGAGAACGAGCTAATGCAAAATAACTCGTTAGAAAGTAAGTTAAGTTACTTGTGCTCTAACGCCGTTTAACTTTGTCTTTCCCTTCCCCCCACCCCCGTCTCTCTCTTTTTTCTTACTCTTTTTATTTCTGTTTCTTTCTAATTCATTGACTCGTTTCCTATTGTTACAGGAACCCGCTGGGATATTTGAGCTGATCGAAGTTGTTGGTAATGGAACGTACGGGCAAGTTTACAAAGTAAGTCTCTCTTTGCAATAATCCTTTTTCGATCTATCTATCTATCTATCTATCTATCTATCTATCTATATATCGATAGATCGATCGAAGGATCTTCTATTTGTCGACAATTACTTAATGGTCAGACAAGTTTTTCTATGCTTTAACATGCGACCGATTCCACTCCTGTTATGTGTAAATACTTGGCTACCCATACACGTTTATTACACACAGAAAACTGATTGAATACTACCAACGAATGTAACTAAATACATATACACGTATTATCTACGGGCGTTGTTGGTTGCATCGAGATACGTAACAAGCAAGAACTATTTCAAATTCCATCTTATAATATGTCGTTTTTTTTTTACAATAATTCTTCGCGAGATTACGTGATAATTTTATAGATTTTTATTTTCAATTGGTTGTAATATTAAATGAATGTTCAATTATATTAATATATCTTATTAGAAATCTGGTATGTATATAGACATTGCACACACGTATATATTAAATTGTTTAGTTTTTAAATATCTCGGTATGTGACTAAACTATGAAGAATTTAATAATATTTGTTTTTCCTTATCGTATGATAAAATCTCTCCGTAATTTTTTCTTTATTTAGTTAGGATAAAATGTGTTGAATCTATTCTAAACCGTGTAGTTTAAAATATCGGTACGATTGAAAAAAAGGAAAAACTTCAAATTCTTATTTTTCTTTATCCTGTAATTATAAATCGTTATTATTATTATTTCTTTTTTTTATCTAATTAAAATAACAAAACGTTGAATTCCCATTTAAGATTCTTACTCGAAAATCTTATATATTACGTTTGCAATGATTTATACAAATATTTGAAATATTTTTTAATGAAAATATTATGGTGTTGTGTGTGATTCAGGAAAGAAATATTTCCAATTATTATTATTCTTTATCGTCTATACGAGAAATCTATTCTTGTTTTTTCTTATTTCATAGCAGGAAAAAAATTAGGTAAAGTTTATGCGTCAGGTTTTACATGATGTCTAGTCATGCAGAACGTACGATAGTTCGACAACTATGATGATGATGATAATGCGAATGATGATGCGAATGAAATTTGCAGAAACTTTAGCGTCCTTGCGATCGCTAATCGCAATTCCTTTCGAATCCGAAGCGTGTTAGTCGGTTGAATCGGAATGATATGTGTTTCATGCGATTGCAAGAAACTTTAGCTTTTATCGTTTCGTCGGATTTGAACTTATCCAATTGATCGTTCTAGTTAACTTTTAATTATCGAGAACATACTATACTTTTAATCTTTCCACTACGTTTTTCTTGTTCTCCTTTTTTTTTTTCCCCCTAAAGCGATATCACCGACACAAGTACAGGCGCATGATGTTTGACGATGACCGTGTTTTTATTTTGTGCTTAGGAATCATTCGAAGTGCAGTTAAGCACTTTTCAAAGTGACGTATTCGCCTGGAAGGAAATAACAAGTTGAACAAGCCGATTAGATTTGTAAATAAAATTCTTTCATCGTTATGTGCAACACGGATGGCGTTCGATTAATGTTACTTTTTTTATTTCTTTATTTTTTTTTCTTTCAATGTATATATTCTTAAAATAAGATACGAGCGTGGAATAAATAATTTATTTAATGTTGTATGGATAATACAGAATAACTGTTAATTATTTGTACAATTATTTGTATTAACCTTTTTACAACGTGATACGAAAATTGCAGTAACTCTCACGTGTTTTCCATCAAAATATTCTGAAAATAATTAATCGTTTTATAGGATGGTTTATGTGGATTATATTTCATTATAAAATCAAATATTTAATATATCGGAAAAGAAAGATATATATATATTTTAATATAATATAAAGTTCTCTTTATATTATATTAGTTTTATATATATATATATATATATAACTAA